AAACATCTTTTCAATTTTATAATTCCTCGGTTGTGAGTCTGTTACTACAGCAAGAGCCTGTTATGATCAGAATGGCACCGGAGTAGTCCAAAATGAAATTTCCATACAATTGACCTGGGGCCTTGCCGATAATACCACAAATAAGTTCACCTTGGTTGTGATACTAATGCTTTTGTGCATGGTCATCTGTTTAACCTGAAATTTTATCGCATAGGCACACATGGGGATTTTTATGTTTGATTGCCCAAATCGTCAACATGGCAAAGAAAAAAAGGATTGACGAGGTTGCCTTGTTGGTCAAAATTCTTGTAATAAAACTTGTCGCAGGTTGGCCCAATTGTTCCATGGATGTAGCTAGCCTTTACATTTCACCCTTGCTATTAGAATTGACTCCCACAACGGTTCTAAGCTTGGTGGTTTTAAAAATTAGTTATCTATAGAAGAAAGTTGTATTGATATTAATTGTAATGATTACGTATTGTAGAATTCACTCTTAAAATCAGCGTAAAGTTGTCTAGTAGATATAAACCTACAATTAAGCCTTAGTTAAAAAAAAAAGGTGACATGGAATACAATTAGTGACACTGCAACTTCCAAAAAAAATTAGGAGTCGCGTTGACCTTTAATTGACTCAAGTTTTTACTCAAATAATAGTGTACGACTCGTTGAATTCTCATAATATGTCTAACATGCCTAGATCTAATCTTTGTTTGATTTTAAGTACCGTGAATTCAAATTTGATTACTGTGTTTGACAAAATTTATATTTCATTTGGGATTGGCAAAGAAATTAATTGCTTGTGCAATCCTTGTTACCATCTGATACTGAATGACTAATTGCTTTTAGTTTTATAGTTTCATTATACTAAATTGCCCAGAAGAATGAATATTGATACCTGACTTATAACCTTTTTAATCACGTGTCCTTTTTCAATTTTTAGCACATCATTTTCACAATAAGAGAGCAGTGTTGAAGCTAACGTAAAAGGATGGACCTTTCTACACTGTCGGGCCACAGCACTGCCAAGGCCCATGTGGCCCAGGCAAAGTGGATAAACCCTACAAGGATATACTCTAAGAATCAAATGTTATTGGGCTTGGTGCCAGGTGGTTATGTTTCGTACTCCAAAAAAGATAGTCGATCAATGCTCGGAAAACTGGAATCAGATTAATCTAATACCGATTTGTTGTAGGAAAATATTGTCAATTAATATTACAAGTCACAATAATTAATTAATCTAGATCTAGTTCACATGAATTAACTATCCTATGTTGAATTGCCGATTTGTATTAAATCAATAACGTAAACAAAGATATATGGTTGGGTAATCAAAGATATATGGTTGGGCCATTTATTGTGGATATTGGG